AAAACCATGGAACAATGAATAAAAAAAAAATTAATGAATAAATGGATAGTAAATTAAAAAATAAAAAAAAAAAATAAAAAAAAAAAAGAGAAGGCACCAATCACATGACTATACATCATGCTCTGCTGGTCTAACAAAAAGAGAAAATAACACAAACCAACCCGGGTCTCTAGCCAGGGTTCTGTAGTTGCTGAGAGGACATACTGATCAAAAGCTACAAGTGGGGAAAGTGCCTCTGAGTTCATCCAACCCAGTTTCTTGGGTTGGATCTTGGGTTCTTCAGTGTCAATCCTACTATCTGACAAAGTTTTGTTTATTATCCTTTAAGGCAGACTGTGGTAATATTTTTAAATTATTTTGCTGCATATAGCTTATTCAAATTTAGACATAAATACTGTGTCATCACATTGGCAATGCAACATCTGTCCTTCTTTCCCTCCTCTATCAGAGGAAAGGTTTTGTTCCTTTCTCTAACTTTTTCTCCTCTTGCCCTGGACCCATCTATTTCTGCCTCTGAGCTCTGTGACAATTCATACTTTGTGTTTTCAGCTCAGTCATCAATTTTGGAAACTGGGATTTAAGAGATTTGATAGTTATAAAAAATAACTATAACAAGTAAGTTGTCATTTCTTCATATTTAAAACCAAAAAATGCTATGCTGAATTCCATTATGGAGCATGAGGAATGCCAGACTTGTTTCTTTTTTTTCCTTTTGAGGATAAATTTTACTTGGGGATTTTTGTTATTGCCGCTGCTGGTACAACTTTAAAACCTCAAGAAATACTAGTAATAATAACAACAAGAATTACAATGATGAAGAATAGAATGATATATTAATTATTTCCATGTTTATTACTTTTTCTATAGATGTATAATTTATGATAGCCTATGTTTTCTCATTTAAGTCTATGTTTTCCATACTTAAGATAATTTATATATATATAAGTAAATATAACTGACCTGTTTTTCTGTGGAGCAAACTGGATTGGTACCCAAAAGTGCTGACATCCTGGACTTGTGTGGTTGTTGAGGATGGCAACATCCTCAGACCTTCAGGGTTCCCAGGTGGGAAGGGTGAGCTCTGTGGGTGTCTACATTCACTTCTATCCATGCTGGATAAGTGGAGAGCATCTTGAGCTTTCTTTTTTTCCTTCTTTAGCATATTGACCAGAATATCTGAAACTTGATTTAAGGATTTAGTGACTCATGCTAAGTTGGAATGATCAAAACACTAATGTTTCAATTGAGGTTAATATTTCCAACAATATTTGCTATTTGTCATATGGTAGAGACCACTGAAGAAAACTTCAACTTCCTGAAGTCATTTATCTAGTTATAGACAGTTTAGGAAGCAACTGGTCTTTCGATATGGCACCATTATATGAAAAATTAGCAAACCCAAAGGTCTTTAAAATGCTCTGAGTTTAAACTGGTAAAGACTCAAAATTCTTGTGAAAGAGTTTACAAGAAATAAAATGAACACTTAGTAGGAGCGGGCAATGGAGCTATGGATGTATCTGTGAATAAGTAAGACAAGAATCCAGGATGCCACTCAGGAGGCAGCAGGAGTGGAGAGGGAGAACACCAGAATCCGCCCAACTGGCAGAGCAGCCAAATCAGTTTTGGTGGCCACAGGCCACAGGATGTAGGCCTCCTACATCCAACACATGTTTGCTTAGCATACATTTGAATGGGACTTACAGTCACATTTTTTAAAAAAGTCTCTAAATCTTGGTCCCAAATGGAACTGAAAAGAAGTGAATTGTTAGTACAGATACATTATTTTACAGTGCACCTTTTGGTGGGCCATTTCAATATATTAGGAGCACTGATGAGGATAAATAACATCACTGCATGCCACCCTCCTTTGCTGTTCTTTCCAGCTCCAGATGCTGAGAACTCTAAGGGATTTCGGCCATCACTGAGAGAAAAGACTAAAATTCCTCTTGAGAATCTCAGAGCTCCAAGTGCATATGCAGCAAGCTGAATTGCAGGCCTCCAGCATCCCCAGAGATGGGGAGTGAGGATATGGAGGTGGTGGGGAGAGAAGACTGCAACTCAGATGCCTGTTCTTGGGCAAGTCTCATAGGGGTCATTTGATTTCCATTTTCCTCTTCAGCTTTGACTCCAACTTCTTGGACATTTCCCGAAGCATAATCACTCTTTCTCTCAGAGTCCCTGATGTGGCTTCCAATCTTTGCCTCAAAAGATGTGTCCTTACCAAAGGGTGTAAGGCCTGGCAGAGAAGAGCAGTGCTCTGCGCACATCTTCCAGAGCCTTGGCCTGGCAGAGAAGAGCAGTGCTCTGCACACATCTTCCAGAGCCTTGGCCTGGCAGAGAAGAGCAGTGCTCTGCGCACATCTTCCACTCCTTCTTGTGCGGAACTGATTATCCATAGCATCAGATGCTTCCGCTGGCTCACACACTGCACTGGCAATATCCATTCCCTCACCCATTCGACAGTGTGCTGTGGAGCTTGTACTATGCGCCAGGCATGATTCTGGGCAGAGGGATGGAATGATGAAAAGGCAGACTAGTTTCTTTTTCTCATGAAGCAGATGTCCTACTCGGGAAAGTCAGATCTCAAGTACACGAACTGAATGTTAGAGGAGGAAAGGACAGCTAATTTTTAAAAGGTCAAGAATGACTGAGTGGCTACTCTACATTGGGTGCTCACAAAAGACTTAGGAGATTGACATTTAATCGGAACATCAAGAGGCAGTGGCCAGAGGAAGAGTAGGTCAGCAGAGTTCATGGCTAGCGCTAAAACCCTCAGGAGAAGGGCCTTGTCAGTGGCTCCCAACAGGGGATATTTTACCACTCAAAGGATGTTTGGCCATGTCTAGAAGCATTTTTGGTTGTCGTACTGCAGTGGGGTGGGGGGGCGGGTGTTGGTTACTTAAGTCTAGTGGGTAGAGGCCAGAGAGGCTGCAAAACATCCTACAATGCACAGGGGAGCCCCCACAACAGAGAATTATACAGTTCCAAATGTTGAAAGTGTCAAGGTTGAGAAACCTGGTGTTAGAACAACCACAAAAAGGACACTGTGACCAAAGCCTAACACATACAGGACAGAGACATAATAAATGAAATCAGGGGCTTGGCAGGGGCTCCATCATGTAGGGCCTTGTGATCTGGAGTAAGGAGCTGAGGCTCATTCTAATGGGCCCTGGCAGAATTTAACCAGAGACGTGCAGCATTCTGTTGTAGATTTACATGAAGATCAGAGGACAGATTTATCTTCTTGGCTGCCTTCCTTCTTCCCACCTTTCCTTTGTCTTCTCCTGTGCCCATTCCATTTAACTTGGGCCTTTGTTGTGTGGGGTCCTAAATGACACACTGTTACATGTTTGGCGAAGGGGTGTCTGAACTTTACTCAGACTCATAATGTCACTGAAATGACACCATTTTCACTCCCTTTCCAAGAAGAGTGTTCAATGTCATTCGCTGTCATTTTGATTGCTTTACTTTCTTTTGTTGAGCTCAAGTATTACCACCTGTTTTTCTCATATACCAGATTTTTCTCATTTCTCCTGTCAGTCTTCGCCTTGGTGGTTCTACAAACGAGATGTGAAAATATCCTCCAACCTGGCTGTGAAAAACCTTGAAATTTCAACAGTCTTTCTTGGTTATTAGCTCTTGATGAGCACAAGCTTTGTGATGAGTAGATCTGAGCTGCTATTTTTCCTCCTTCTGAGTTTGCCCATTGTCTGCAGAGTCATATCTCCCATCATAGCACACCATGTACTCAAAAGCACTCAAAGCACTTTCCAGTACCTTACCTTACTGGCTTTGCTCAGCACTGTGAGGTTGGCAAGGCAGGCTGTACCGTCCTACTACTGAAGAGTAGGAAACCATTCCATTGAATAGCTGTGGAGCTAATGCAGGAAGAGCGAGGATGTCAATCCAGGTGTGAACTTGAAGTTCACTGATCTTTTCACCACGGCTCCTACATACCATCGTTTTGAACAGGAGTCTCAGAAGGAGGAGATGCTGCTCAGGTCATTCCCAGTCAGTGAAGAATCCAGCGCAACACCACATGAACAGTGGTACCTGGATCTGGTGGTCAATAAGGGAGATGATGTATGTCTCTCTGTCACTCTCCTGTTTAAATAAACACAGATGCATAAGCCCAGACTGGTTCCTTGCTGTCATATCTCATCTCATCCCTCCTATAGGCACACACATTCATAAACCCAGGAGGGGATTAAGAAGTTGGTAGGAGTGTTTAGGGGAGAAGATCCTAAAATAGGATCAAGATTTGGAAAAGAAGCAGAGCTCAGACTGGGGCTGGGGCCAGGCCTGAGGTCTGGGCTGGGAGCATCCCTGGAGCTGGATAGGGTAAGAGAGAGGAACAGGAATGCAGGGTGACCCTGTGGGCAGCGCTCACAGACAAGGCCTCACGTGGGAGTAGAATTCGCCGCTGAACCTACTGTTGCTGGCTGGATAAGAAAGCAGCTACAACTCGCTTGGATCAGGCATAGAGGGTCTGCTAATACTCAGCTAAAATTAGAGAGCGGGGTTCATCAGGCAGTGTGCCTACTTTGTGTGTGGTTTGTTTTTGCTTCTTTATTACTGGATGTCCTCCGTATAGGTTATTTTTATGCATTTTTTTCACATTAGCCGCAGCTAAAAGCCCTTTAGTAATTTTTAAAAATGAACACAAATACCTGTTGATAAGAACTGACCGAAATAACTTCTTGTGCACATTTAAAATCAGCAAATGCAATGAAAATGTCAAATCTTTTTACAAGAAGCTTGACAGATACAATGAGAAATAAGACTGAAGAAATGCTGGGGAAACCTGAGGTCTAAGCCCCCCAGCCTATACCTGGAGGCAGCTCCCATGGGCTCCTGGCTCTCGTGGTACCCCAAACACACTGCCTCTTAGAGCCAAAAAGGGTTCTATCTTGAACACCCATAGACACTCGCTTCCAAACTGGGGAACATTTGTTAAGTGGAACCTAAAGCAGTAGATCTGGGTTTTAAATTAAAAAAAAAAAAAAGTTACATTTAAATCAATCTCTGCTTTCCATAAGCTAAATACCATTTGTCAGTTTTCAGCCACCATCTGAGCGCCGCCCACACACCAGCCACAAATTCTGGGCCCTGGTGAGGCTGTGGTCAGCCCAGTGTCCGGTCAGTCAGCTAAAGATAACCAGCTAACTTACTGGCTCAGAACTAAAACAGAAAGAGCACAGTGGACTATTCAAAAAAATATATTAAAAGAAAATTTCATGTTAAGAGATGGGGTAAAAAAGACCACACTTTTCAATAAACTGAAATAGTCCCCATAATAGTAACTGTATCTAGCTAAAAACAGAGTCAAAGTGTTTCTTTTATAGCAACAGTGTTTTTCACTGGTCACTACATTCTCTGTGTGGGAAGGATCTCTCCTAAATGGCAAGAAGCAGTGTGAACTGGAAGCAGGGTGGGGGGCTAGATGATGCAGCTAGCAGAAGGCACCGAAGTGTTCCCCTCCCTCTTGCAAGCCAGGAGAGGGTCAGTTTCTAATCGCTTTGGAAAGGATACTGATTTCATTATCCCTCTGCTGTAGAATGTCTCGGAGCTTTTGGTATTCTTCCTCTTTTAATGGTTCTTGGCAGTCTTGATCTTTGATTTCAGAGGAGACTGTGCTTTTTCCATGAATCTTCTTGTCATTCAATAGTTTCTGTAAGATGAAATAAGAGCTTAGAGCCTATACCTCTCTTCCAAATCTCTTAGTTTCTTGGACTCTTTTTGCCTTCGACAATTCTTGCACAAATCAGGCATGCCTGTCCTTTCTTGCCTCCTTGTCTCTGCAACGCAGCTGCCTTCCCCTTCTCCCTGCCCCCTCTCTCCTCTCCCCTCCCCTTCCTCATCCTGTTCTATGCTATCATCTCTCTCCTTCCCTAAACTCAGAAATTCCTACTCAAACACGATCCGCTCTTGAACTTCTTGCTCTTTTTCCCTAACCCCATACCACTTGCTTCACACTTTTTAATTTATTTTTTATAGGGTCTTTAATTTAATTTAATTTAATTTTATTATGTTAGTCACCATACAGTACATCATTAGTTTTTGATGTAGTGTTCCATGAGTCATTGTTTGTGCATAACACCCAGTGCTCCACGCAATACGTGCCCTCCTTAACACCCATCACCGGGCTAACCATCCCCCCGCCCCCTCCCCTCTAAAACCCCCACACTTTTAAAAAATATCACTTATCATGTGTTATAATTATTCTCTACATATATGTCTTATTCATGACTTACTTATTCAATTTTGCTTTCCCAATGCCTGGCCCAAAGCAGACTCACAATAAATGTTTATTATCATAGTGAAGAATGCCAAATTATAAGTGAGATAGAAATAAAAGTTAATGATATTTCCACTGTGTCATCATGAAAGGTAAAATGTAAGGTAGAGAAAAACTGAGGGTTTATATGGATAAATCTAAACTGCTGGGAAAAATACAGGACACAATTTTCTTCATATATGTTGAAAATAAATGGTTTTTGAACATGGAATTATTCTGTGTACAAGTTAGAGATTCCTGGCAAAAGAATTACAAGTCTATGGTCTGAGCTTATTCACTGGCAGGTAAGATACAAACTTTGAAGAAATTCTGGAATAATCCCAGCATTGTTGGAAGATCATAATGTTCTAGACATGTGAAGCTGGATCCTAGCCTTTTAAGAGTTGGTCAACTAGGCAAACTTTACTGCAGTTTCAACATGGCAGACAATGGCTTCCACTAGAGGAAATGCTGAACTTTACCTTTAAATGAAGGAAACAGTGATGAATTTTACGCATATCAGTGCCAACCGCTAGTCTACTTTCTGGATCTTGGTCTTCCAAAAAGGATGATACTAGTTTTTCCAGCCTAAAAATACATAATGTATGAGAAACAACTATGAGCTAGAAACTTTAGAAATTCTAATGGCATTACTTGGTTGGTTAACATTCAAAGTACGGGATATTTTTCCACTTTATGGAAATATAGTTAACTGATTTAACTAAAAATTAAGGGGAAAGAAACATATTGACAAAGTGAAATCTGAAATGATGCAATTATTTGACTACTTTCTGATAGATTTTCTTTTTTTATTATTCTATGTTAATCATCATACATTACATCACTAGTTTTTGATGTAGTGTTCCATGATTCATTGTTGCATATAACACCCAGTGCTCCATTCAGTATGTGCCCTCTTTAATACCCATCACCAGGCTAACCCATCCCCCTACCTCCCTCCCCTCTAAAACCCTCAGTTTTTTCTCAGAGTCCATAGTCTCTCATGGTTCGTCTTCCCCTCCGATTTCCCCCCCTTCATTTTTACCTTCCTACTATCTTCTCCTTTTTTTTTTAACATATGATGTATTATTTGTTTCAGAGGTACAGTCTGGGTTGAACAGTCTTACACAATGCAGAGCACTCAATATAGCACATATCCTCCCCAATGTCTATCACCCAGCCACACCATAGATCCCACCCCCCACCACTCCAGCAACACTCAGTTTGTTTCCTGAGATTAAGAATTCCTCTTATCAGTGAGATCATATGATATATGTTTTTCTCTGATTGACTTATTTAGCTCAGCATAATACCCTCCAGTTCCATCCGCGTCGTTGCAAATGGCAAGATCTCATTCATTTGATGGCTACATAATATTCTGTTGCATATATATACCACATCTTCTTTATCCATTCATCTGTCGAAGGACATCTTGGCTCATTCTACAGTTGGGCTATTGTGGACATTGCTGCTATAAACATTGGGGTGCATGTACACCTTCGGATCCCTACATTTGTATCTTTGGGGTAAATACCCAGTAGTGCAATTGCTGGATCGTAAGGTAGCTCTATTTTCAACTTTTTGAGGAACCTCCATACTGTCTTCCAGAGTGCCTGCACCAGCTTGGATTCCCACCAACAGTGTAGGAGGGTTCCCCTTTCTCCGCATCCCTGTCAACATCTGTCGTTTCCTGACTTGTTAATTTTAGCCATTCTGACAGGTGTGAGGTGGTATCTCATTGAGGTTTTGATTTGGATTTCCCTGATGCCGAGTGATGTTGAGCACTTTTTCATGTGTCTGTTGGCCATTTGGATGTCTTCTTTGGAAAAATGTCTGTTCATGTCATCTGCCCATTTCTTGATTGGATCATTTGTTCTTTGGGTGTTGAGTTTGATAAGTTCTTTATAGATTTTGGATACTAGCCCTTTATCTGACATGTCAATTGCAAATATCTTCTCCCATTCTGTCGGTTGTCTTTTGGTTTTGTTAACTGTTTCTTTTGCTGTGCAAAAGCTTTTTATCTTGATGAAATCCCAATCGTTGATTTTTGCTTTTGCTTCCCTTGCCTTTGGTGATGTTTCTAGGAAGAACTTGCTATGGCTGAGGTCGAAGAGGTTGCTGCCTGTGTTCTCCTTTAGGATTTTGATGCACTCCTGTCTCACGTTTAGGTCTTTCAACCATTTGGAGTCTATTTTTGGGTGTGGTGTAAGAAAATGGTTTCTTTCTTCTGCATGTGACTGTCCAATTTTCCCAACAGCATTTGTTGAAGAGACTGTCTTTTTTCCATTGGACATTCTTTCCTGCTTTGTTGAACATTAGTTGACCATGGAGTTGAGGGTCCATTTCTGGGCTCTCTATTCTGTTCCATTGATTGATGTGTCTGCTTTTGTGCCAGTACCATACTGTCTTGATGATGACAGCTTTTTATTACAGCTTGAAGTCCGGAATTGTGATGCTGCCAGCACTGCTTTTCTTTTTCAACATTCCTCTGGCTATTCGGGGTCTTTTCTGGTTCCATACAAATTTCAGGATGATTTGTTCCATTTCTTTGAAAAAAGTGGATGGTATTTTGATAGGGATTGCACTAAATGTGTAGATTACTCTAGGTACCATTGATGTCTTCACAATATTTGTTCTTCCAATCCATGAGCATGGAACGTTTTTCCATTTCTTTGTGTCTTCCTCAATTCCTTTCATGAGTATTTTATAGTTTTCTGAGTACAGATCCTTTACCTCTGGTTAGATTTATTCCTAGGTATCTTATGGTTTTGGTGCAATTGTAAATGGGATCCACTCCTTAATTTCTCTCTCTGCTGTCTTGTTGGTGTATAGGAATGCCACTGATTTCTGTGCATTGATTTAAATCCTGCCACTTTACTGAATTCCTGTATGAGTTCTAGCAGTTTTGGGGTGGAGTCTTTTGGGTTTTCCACATACAGTATCATATCATCTGCAAACAGTGAGAGTTTGACTTCTTCTTTGCCGATTTGCATGCCTTTGATTTCTTTTTGTTGTCTGATTGCTGTGGCTAGGACTTCTAATACTATGTTGAATAGCAGTGGTGATAGCGGACATCCCTGCCGTGTTCCTGACCTTACTCAGTTTTTTCCCCATTGAGAATGATATTCGCTGTGGGTTTTTCATAGATGGCTTTTATGATATTGAGGTATGTACCCTCTAAACCTATACTCTGATGAGTTTTAATCAAGAAAGGATGTTGTACTTTGTCAAATGCTTTTTCTGCATCTATTGAGAGGATCATATAGTTCTTGTTCTTTCTTTTATTAATGTATTCTATCACATTGATTGATTTGTGGATGTTGAACCAAACTTGCAGCCCAAGGATAAATCCTACTTGGTTGTGGTAAATAATCCCTTTAATGTACTGTTAGATCCTATAGGCCAGTATTTTGGTGAGAATTTTTGCATCTATGTTCATCAAGAATATTGGTCTGTAATTCCCTTTTTTGATGAGGTTTTTGGTTTGGGGATCAAGGTAATGGTGGCCTCATAAAATGAGTTTGGAAGTTTTCCTTCCATTTCTATTTTTTGGAACAGTTTCAGAAGAACAGGTATTCATTCTTCTTGAAATGTCTGATAGAATTCCCCTGGGAAGCCATCTGACCCTGGGCTTTTGTTTCTTCGGGGATTTTTGATGACTGCTTCAATTTCCTTAGTGGTTATAGGTCTGTTCAGGTTTTCTATTTCTTCCTGGTTCAATTTTGGTAGTTGATACATCTCTAGGAATGCATCCATTTCTTCCAGGTTATCTAATTTGCTGGCATAGAGTTGCTCATAATATGTTCTTATAATTGTTTGTATTTCTTTGGTG